AAAGAATCAACATGGTTAACACCCTGACCTAGGACTCCCAGCCTCCAGAACTAAGAGACAGTAAGTTTCTGTTCTTAAAAGCCATCCAGTTAGTGGCATTTTGTTATTGCAGTCCTAAGAAATGTACACAGTGTATCACATTGCTTGATTTTCTTATGTTGATCCATCCCTTCATTCTTGGGATAAATCCTACCTGATGCTGTTGTATTAATTTGCTAGTATTTTCTTGAGGATTTTTGCATCTTTATTCATGAGAGATGTTGGTATGCAATGTTCTTGTCTTGTGATGTCTTTGGCTTTGATATCAGAGTAGTACTGGCCTCATAGAAGGGTTAGGCAATATTTCCTCCTCTTCTGTGTTTGGAAAGATTTTGAGAAGGATTAGTATTCATTCTTTAAATAGTTAGTAGAATTTACTAGTGTATTTTTATGGTCTTGGACTTTTCTTTGTTGGAAGGCTTTTTGTTATTGATTTGTTCTCTTCCTTTTTATAGGTTTGTAAGATTTTCTACTTCTTCTTGAGTCAGTTTTGGTCTTTTATCTGTTTATAGAAATTTCTCCATGTCATTTAGATTTTCTATGTTGTTGGCATGCAAATATTCATCAAAGTCTATTACTTCTTTCTGTAAGATTTATAGCAATATCTCCATTTTCATTTCTGCTTTAATAATTTGAGTATTTACTTTTTTTTTCTTGGTTAGTCCTTTCAATGAGCCACTTTTAGTTTAATTGATTGTACTAGTTTTTATTGTCTATTTAATTTACTGTCTCTTAGTATTTATTATTTTTTTCCATCTTTTAGTTTGAGTTGATCTTTCTTTTCCTTTTCTAGTTTGTGAAGGTGTAAAATAGGTTGTTAATTTCTATTTTTTTAAAAAAATGTACAGTTATATATTTCCCTCTGACCACGCTTTCACCACATCGCATATCTTTATGTTGTGTTTTAATTTTTATTCATCTTATAGAATTTTCTAATTTTCCTTGTGAATTCATAACTTATTTATGAATGTTTTGTTTAATTTTCACACATTTGTAAAATTTCCAGTTCTTCTTTCATTATTGATTTCTAGTTTCATTTCATTGTAGCCAGAGTATATAAAATTTATATTTTATATAGATTCCAGTCTTTTCAGGTTTACTGAAGGTTGTTTTATGGTCCAACACATGGTCTGTACTGTAGAACATTCTGTGTGCACAAGATGAATATATATTTTGCTGTCAGGTCTAGTTGATAGACCGTGTTGTTCAAGTCTTCCATTTCTTTATTGATCTTATTCCTGATTGTTTCCATTATTAAAAGTGGGTGTATTAAAGTCAACTATAATTGCTTACTTGTCTATTTATCACTTAAATTCTGTCAGCTTTTGTTTAGTATATTTTGGGGTGCTATGGCATTGTAGGATCGGCACTGGACTGTGAACGACAAGCTTGGCAGTTCAAACCTACCAACTGCTCCTTGGAAACTCTATAGAGAGTCACTATGAGTCAGAACTGACTTAATGGCACTAAACAACAACAACATTGGTGGATTTACAACTTTATCAGTGTATAAATGCACTATTTTTTGCTTGTAACAATCTTTGACTTAATGTCTATTTTGTTTGATATTAGTATAGCCTTCCTAGCTGTCTTTTGTTTGCTTAGGAGTCCTTGGGTGGTAAAAATGTTTAAGCACTGACAAGTAACTAAACGGTTTTGGTTCAAACACTTATATATATTTTCATCCTTTCACTTTCAATTAAGCTATAATTGGGGTCCTGGTGTAGTGCTGTAGGATAAGCACTAGACTGCTAGCCACAAGGCTAGTGGTTCAGACTCATCAAATGCTCCTTGCAAACCCTATATAGGGTTGCTGTGTGTTGGAACTGACTCGATGGCATCAACGACAATAACAATATATAATTGGGTCATGTTTTTTCACCTGTTATTTCACTCTGCATTTAATTGGAACTTCTAATCCAGTTATGCTTAAATTAATTGCAAATAAGGCAATTGATTCAGTCATTTTATATGTTTTCTACAAGTCTTATTGTTTTTATTCTTCAACTCATTCATTACTGCGTTTGTTTGTGTTTGATTTTTTTCCTTAGTGTACCATTTTGGTTCTTTTCTCATTTCTTTGTGTATTTTAAAGTTATTTTCTTAGTAGTTATCCAGAGAATTAAAATACACATTTGAAATTTATAACCATCTGGTCCTGGTGGTGCAGTGGTTAAGTGCTTGGTTACTAACCAGAAGTCAGTGGTTTGAACCCAGCAGGCACTTCGTAGGAGAACACAATATGGCAGCCTGCTTCCTAAAGATTTACAGCCTTGGAAACTCTTCGGGAACAGTTCTTCTCTGTCCTGTGGGGTTACATGAGTCGAAATCTATTTCTTGGCAATGGGTTTTTAAAATTTATCTTAAACTAATACCAACTTAACTTTTTGAGGCACTGTAAAATCAACACTAGACTGTGAACCACAAGGTCAGCAGTTCAAACTCACCAGCTGCTCTTTGGAAACCTCATACAGGGTCACTATGAGTTGGAACCAACTTGACAGCACTTAACATGCACAAACTTCAATTCTATACAAAAAACTTGGTTCCTATCCTGCTCCAATGTCCCCCTTTATGTTGTTATTGTCATAAATTACATCTCTATAGATTATGGGCCATTAGCATGTTAGTAGTTGTTTTGTGCATTTACTTTTTATATTTAGAAAATGAATAGGGTATAAAAGATAGAAATACAATAATTTGGCTTTTATATTTATTTATTGACTGTGAGGTTTGTTCTTTATTTCTTCATGTGGCTTCAACTTATTGTTTGTTGTGCTGTTGAGTTGGTTCCGACTCATAGCAACCCTGTAGGGGAGTTCCAAGGAGCGGATGGTAGATTTCAACTACCAACCTGTGGTTAGCTTGTGATTAGCTGTTCAGTGCTTATCCTAAAGCACCACACCAGGACCTGCCTACTGTCTTTTAATTTCAATCTGAAGAGTTCCCTTTAGTATTTCTGGTCAGGCTGGTCTACTAGTAACAAACTCCCTCATCTTTTGTTGATCTAGGAATGTCTTAATTTCTCCTTTATTTTTAAATAATAGTGTTTGTGATAGAATTCTTGATGATGTCTTTTTCTTTTAACACTTTAAATATGTCATCCCACAGTTTGGTAGGAAGAATTTCTGATGAGAAATTGACTTAATATTACTGAAGATTAAACCACTCGATGATCAGCAAGCTAAAAGAATGGAGACTTCAGTGTAATAAACAATGAAGAATACGATCTTTACAAAAAATGATGTAGGAAAGTCACAAGCAAACAAACTACTGCAACACATGTTTAGCAGCAACAGCGCATCATGAGGAGGCTAACCTAAGAAGCCACTTCTCTCTCGCTGCTTTTAAAGTATCTCTTCCTGTTTGGCTTCTGACTGTTTATCATGTGTCTTTGTGTGGCTCTCTGTGGGTTTATTTTACTTGAAATTTAATGAACCCAAGAATGTCTAGATTCATGCCCTTCATCCAATTTTGGAAGATTTCAACACACACACACACACACACACACACACACACACACACACACACACATATATATATATATGTTATAAGGAGCTCTGGTAGCGTAGTGGTTACGAATCGGGCTGCGAACCTAAAGGTCAGCGGTTCGAAACTACCAGCTGTTCCGCGGGAGAAAGATAAGGCTTTCTACTCCCATAAAGATTTACACCCTCGGAAACCCTATACAGGGTCGCTATGGGTCGGAACCGACTCGATGGCACATAACATAACAATAACAAAATATATGTTATATATATATTTTCAATATATATAATTCTATATTTATATTCTATATATTCAACCCTTCAAATATTCTTTTTGCCACCTTCTCTCCTCTCCTTCTGGGATTCTCATTGTGTTGGCCACTTGATAGCATCCCACAAATCCTGTAAACTGTGTTTGGTTTTCTTCATTCTTTTCTTTTTGCTCCTCTGACTGGATAATCACTTTTGTTCTGTTTTCAAGCTTTCTGATTCCTCTGAGTGCTCAAATCTGCTGTTGGACCTGTCCAATTAAATTTTCATTTCAATTATTGTATTTTTCACTTCCATAATTAAAAGTCTTTGTCTAGTAAATTTAATAACTGAGTTTCCTCAGGGACAGCTATTAATTTATTTGCATTTCCTATGAATGGGCATAGGAGTTCTAGTGTGGCACTCTAGGATAAGCACTAGACTGGTAACCACAAGGTTGGCAGTTCAAACCCACGAGCCACTCCTCTGAAACCCTAGCTATAAGTCAGAAATGACACAGTAGCGTTTAACGGGCATAAAGAAGACTTCATCGTGCAGGCTAGGCACCCAGCTACTAACCTAAAGGTTTGAACTCACTGGCTACTCTGATGGAGAAATATGTGCTTAAAGACTGTTGTTGTTGGCATATGCCTTGGAGTCAGTTCTGACTCATAGTGACCTTGTATAGGGTTTCCGAGAGTGGCTGGTGTGTTTGAACTGCTGATCTTGTGCTCTGCCCTTCTTTACTTCCTCTTCTTTCTTCATTAACAGTTCCTCGGGTTATTATATGTTTTTGATTCTATCCTAGAGTCCCAAAACCAGTTGATTCTGAAAGTTTTCCCAGATAAATGTTTTCTTTATTGTCATCACTTTTTACGGCATGCAGAAGGTGTGATGGGCAGTCTGGTGGAAGCAGGGAAGCCCAGGGGCTTATCAAGACAGGAGAATCTATTCAGAGGCCAATACACAAGGACATGGAAAATGGTTTAAAGCAGGTGATAAGGTCAATGTTAGGGTAAGGATGGCCAACTAGCTGTCAGGGAGGTGTGTGTGGGGGAAGGAGGGATGGGGGGAGAAGAAGAGGACAGAAAGGAGACAAGTAGGGGCTCAGAGGGAAGCGAACCAGGGCTGGACAGGCCTCTGTGGGAACACAGGTCAGTTCTCCACCCAGGTCACTTATCTCTGAGACCCTAGAGGCCTCTCCCCTGCACCTGCCTTTTCTAGGTGTCTACCGTGCCCTGCGTCTGAGGGACGGGCAGAGTCGCTGTGATGGACGTGTGGAGATATCCCTGGATGGGGTGTGGAGCCGCGTCCTGGACGACGCCTGGGACCTGCGGGGCGCCGCCGTCGTGTGCAGGCAGCTTCAGTGCGGGACGGCAGAGGGAGCCTATGACGCTCCTGCTCCAGGCTACGGCGTTGTGCCCGTAGGGCTGCAGCACGCGCGCTGTCTGGGCAATGAGAGCCACCTGGACCAGTGCAACCTGTCCATGTCGCTGCTGGTGCCCGTAGAGAGTCTGCCGGACGCCGGCGTCGTTTGCTCTGGTGAGTAACCTCACAAGGACCCTCTGAGCGTGTCTGGCTGATGACTGACTGGATCGGCGCTCACCTGGTCTACAGGTAGCTAGGCTGCGGTCAGATTCTTGGCGTCCTGGGGTCCGCATCTGACTGGGGGCCCAGAATTGGCGCTGTGGAAGTGGCCTTCGTGGGGATGGGGTTAGCACGACTGCAGACACAAGGAGAATGACAGCGTTCCTGTGTGTTGTCAACCTCCACACCCGACGTAAGGACCAGGCGCGCAGACTCCCCTCTATCTGCAGAACCACAGCAGGCCCTGTGCGGGGTGCCCGGAAGTCTCCTACACTGGGACCTGGTGCAGTGGGGGTGCGGTGCCAGACTTAGTGCCACCACACTGGGGCTCCTGACTTGGGTAACCCCGGGGCAGAGCTGGAAATCGTGTGCTAAGTCCCCCTGTGGCCGCGCTTGTTTGTCCCCAAGGACTAAATTTCCTGCTCCAGCCGTGGAGCTGTAACTGCTGCTGGGACCGCAATTCCGCCCGTTATTTTCTTGGCATGGAATCTTAATTTGATGGAAAGAAGTCCTAGATTGACTGCTTCCACAAAAGCAGTGAAATATGAGCTGTATGAGTCTGTGCGCCCCCCACTCACCTCCCCCCCCCACCTGGTAGGCAACACAGGGCCATTGGGTGCAAGGGCATCTCTGAGGACACTCCTCGGGATGCATCCCGGAGACACCAGGGACACTGTGTGGAGCTTCCATTGCTGCTATTGTGGGAAGCTCTGTTGACTGAAAACAGAGCACTCTTTCCTTTAGTAAGTCCAGCTGGCAGACGCGTGTGTGTTTGGACAGGAGAGGAGGTCCAGAAATGAACACCTTGAAGGTATTGGGCAGTATTATAAAGGTGTCCTGTACAGCACATTAGGTCCTGTTTCCTCCACAGGAAGGGCAGGAGCAGCTCCGCAGGCAACCCGGGAAACCCTCAACTGCTCATCCACTGAGACCTGCTCAGGTGTGCATCCTGTCCCCTCTCCGTCCCTCTGTCTGACGTGTCCAACATCTCCTGACCCAGATCCTTGTGTTCCCAGATGAGGGCTGGTATATTCTCCTGGGATCAACTTCTCTGTTGGGATGGGAGTCTGGGGAGGCATGTTTTTCTTTACCTCAACTGAGGTACAGTCCTGGGAGTGGGGGTCATTTCTGTCAGAGGCAAGGTCATCAGTTTCTACTTTTCTGGACCTGCCTTTGACTCCCAAATGCCTGTGTTTCATTCTTTGTGCAGAGAACAAGCAGATCCCTCATCGGTGATGATAGCAAAAGTTACTACCAAGTGTTGGTGTCTGCTTGTGTGCAAAGGAGCCTCTAACTCAGAGCTGTGACAGTCATCATTGCACACAAGCGAGTGTCCCTGAGACACTAGCAGACACTAGCCTGACTTTGGGGTGCTTTGCTCAGTAGATACCCCGCCCCCCGCCCCCAGCACTTGTGAAGTCAGATGCTTTCCCACATGAATGTAGGTGTGAGTTCTTGAGGGGAGGTCTCCTGATGAGGGAATGTAGACCAAGGTGACCTTGGCATGCAGGCATCGTGTCCACCACCAGCTTAGTTGTGACTTTTTCCTCTGCAGAACCATGCCATCTGCCAGCTCCAGAGTCCTGCCAGCTCCTCAGAACAGTCAGCATTGTCCTGGGGACACTTCTTGGTCTTCTATTGGTCGGGGGCCTTCTGATTCTGCTCCAAATCATACCAGCCAGGCAGAGGGGTATGTGCATCCCAACCCCAACCCAAATATGGTAAAAACCAAGGAGCTATGCACATCTCCAGACTGGTGCTAGAATCCTTGCAAATGGTGTTGAAACTTGTAACACCTTTTACCTGCCAAAGACAGGGACTTAGAAGTGTAAGTAGGCCTCAGATCCCTGGACACTGAACTGAATCCTGGGAGGTCACACCTGGACACTGTATCAGAGCTCTCTGGGTGGAAGCACCTTGTTTTCTAGACCTGGGGACAGAGGCCACACAAGGCTCAGGTGCATTGCCAGCTCTCTTAGTCCCCACCCAGAGTTCTCTGTCCCCTATTACATGAGCAAAGTCTAACTGGGGGCGGGGGGCTGCCTGTGGCCACACCAGGTGTCTTTGTATCATCTTTTGCTTACCTGTGCCAATTGGTCTTAGGTCTGGGAGACTTGGAGGTGCCTCCTGGAGAAGCCACCTATGAAGTGATCAATGATGTACCTTCACCAGAGCTGTATGAGGAAACTGTGGGGATAGAGGACGAGTTCCAGGGTGAGAAGGACCTGGGAGTGGTCACAGTGGCCACAGCAGCCACAAATGTGTCTGTGCTGTTCTGCTTTGGGGTGGGAGCCCTGGGCCAGGACTCTGGAGGACACACAGATTGATGAGGTCTCTGATCAAATGGGTATGAGAGTGTCCCTTAGCAAGTGCAATGTTGTTGTTGTTGTTGTTACGTGCCGTCGAGTTGGTTCCGACCCATAGCGACCCTGTACAGGGTTTCCGAGGGTGTAAATCCTTACGGGAGTACAAAGCCTCATCTTTCTCCCGCGGAGCAGCTGGTAGTTTCGAACCGCTGACCTTTAGGTTCGCAGCCCGATTCGTAGGAGAACCAAATAAGTGAGAATACAGTTGGAAGCCGAGCCTGTTAGGAAGGACCTCTATCCATGGTGGTGGGTTTGGTAGAGGTGAACCTGGGCATAGAATGTCAGGAGGACCCAAGGTTCATCAAAGAATTGCAAGATTTTCTTTGTAGCGGTCACAGTATGTTTCAGGAAGCTGAATTCATGTGTAGAGACTGAGCTCTATTTAATGCTGGGTTGGTGACATCTCTATGTAACCTGAAGGTGCTTAGACCTATCACTTCCCCAGGCCAAACCACCACACAGTGCCCTTGGGATGACACTGTGTCCTTTGTAACAGTTTCAGAATGGCTGCTGGACCCCCAGGATGCACATCCTGCACTCAACGAAGGAGGCGACGGCGAGTCTTTCTCTCATGGTTATGATGATATTATGTTGGAGGAAACAGCTTCATAAAGCCTGAGATTACGTGCTCCAGGATGATGTTGTCTAAGTCATGGTTCCTTATTTTCTTACAGTTGGACTGAATTTTTCAAGCCATCCAGATAGACTCCAAGCCTTCTTTAACTCATTTGTCCCCTTATCTCCAGCCCCTTCTCAGAGGCACTGACAGTTGTGGTCTAAACCTTCCAGAAAGTTCCCCATGCATCTATGACAAACACAAATGTACACACAAACCTATAGTTGTGTTTTGTGGATTTAAAAGTCATGTAAATTGTATCGTCTATATGTCCTTTTCTGTAACTGCTTTTCGTCATTCAACAATGGTTTGGAGAGCTTTTCATATCAGAAGGAGGGGTCTACTTTTTTCCCCTCCCCTTGTAAATTTTTAAAAACAGAATTTTAAGTAACTTTAGATTTTATACATGTGTCATCATGCCATCAATGACAAAGTCTTTTCCATACTTCACACACAGTGGTGGTTATGTGCTGTGGAGTCAGTTCTGACTCATAGCAGTCCTGTAGAGGGCTTCCAAGGCTGTACATTTGTACAAGAGCTGAAGGCCTCATCTTTCTCCCATGGAATGGCTGGTAGTTTTGAACTGCTGAAGCTTGAGGTTAGCAACCCGACTTATAACCACTATGCTACCCGAGTTCCAGTCACACACAGTGAGAACCTCATAAAATAAAAAGAGTGTTGGCCAGGTCCACGTGTGTCTACTGAGGAAGCAATGGCATAAAGTTGGAAAGCCTGTCCCCCAACTCCCTTGTAGTCCATTTACTCTGTTTAATCCCTCATTGGACCCATTGTTTTCTGAGCATTGTTGAGATTTATGGCTTTTTAAGATATATCTTCTACTGGCTAGCTTGGTTTTCTTTTGTCTTGCCTCTGTCTGTCCCTCCCTCATGCCCCTCTGCTCCTCCACTGCTCTTCCTTGAGTAGCTCCCTCAAATGCCATTTGATTTTCATCTTCCCAGAGTTGCACCAATAGCTTCTAATGTTCGAGATGCACACAGCTGGGAGTCTAACTTCAGTTTGACATATTTCACTTTAATAGAGACAAAGTTCAAGGAATGTACAGACAGTTAGATGCTGCTTTAAAAAAATTAATTTCGTCTGTTTGACAACAGCCATCATCACCCTTAGTGGTATCAAAACAGGAAAAACTGTTGCATTTTGAGCATTAACTGATTCTGAACAACGACAATCACACAAGGTTGGTCCTGGGTGCCTCAGCTCAGGGGACCTGTTTTGTCTCCACACAGTCCCAGGTGACCACACATCCCTTGCTAAGTTAGCTCACTTACAGGGTGGGCTGCTTTCTCTTGCCACAGGTCCAGAGTGGCCCCTGTGTTCCCACAGAATTACCCCTGTGGTTGGGCATGTGGGCACTCAGTGGGAGGGAGGGCCCAGGTGGGTGCGACATAGGAGAGACTAGGGCCGGCTGCCACACACCAGGTGTGCCCTATGCCACAAGGAGGGCCAGGTCAAGCTTACATTAACTGTACACAACTGGCTTCTCAGTCAGATACCAGACACAGTGGTGTCTGCTGATGTCACAACTTACCAGCCACTGGTAAGTGTGTGGTACCTTCACCCACTTCTCAGAGTCAGGAGTCAGGAACTGTGAGGGGCATTGGCTACATGTGGAAAAGAGACATTGCCTGCTGGGCACCCTCTTGGTGAGACAGACACACGATGGCAGCTCAGTGAGTCCTTTAACCTCATAACAGATACTGGAGCATCTGCTAGAATTCTGGCTGGCCTGGAACATGGTGGCCAAGGTGCACTGATCTGGGGAAGCAACAGAACACAGTGTAGGGAGGTGTCTTATTAGGTCTGGAACTGCTCTGGGTGGGTCCAGGGAGACTAGAGGCAAGAGGGCAGAAATTAGAAGTATCAGCGGGCAGTTTCCGGAATTGTCAGAAGAATTTACAATGGAGACCTGTTTTCTCAACTCAAATGGAATGAGGGGTGGACAGCAGGTCTCGATTTTTCAGGTCTTCGGAAATGAGAGCTCTTCAACAAAATGAGACACAGCTCCACAAGCATCCAGGACTTTCCTTTCCACAAATTTCAAACTTAGAGTACTTTGGGTGAGCTGTGTACATATTGGGAATGGATTCTACTTGACCTAGCTTGGTGATGAAGCACTGCCTCGGATCTGGGCCTACTCTCTTGCGGTGAACTATCCGATAGAGGTTGTCCACTTCATGGGTCTACCTGGGTCAGGGCAACAGACCCCAGCAGGCCAGACTCAGGAAGGTGGCCTGAAGTCACCACAGAGCATGTGGCCTGTATGGTGAGGGCAAGGGTTCCAGAAAGGGACATCTGCCGCTTATGACCCAATGTTCACCAAAATGGCTTCAGCCCGCCTTCCACCTTTCCCTGTCCTGAGCCTCTTGGCCACTTTTTACTCAAGAGCTGACTTTTTAATCACTGTCCCAGGTGCAGGCCTCACTGCAAGACTGGAGTGTCCTCATGGGATAGACCAGGGGGCTCCTTTCAGAAGAAGACCCCACTGGAGTCCTAACCTCAACTGAGTGGGGACCCTCACTCCACACCTCTGTTCATGCCAGACGTCCATGGTGACCTGTTCGTATCCCCCCTAGTCCTGACAGCAAAGCAGAATTCTAAAGGAGCCTCCAGAGTCACCTGGGGCCTCGTGTGGGTTTGAAAACATGCAAAGATGGTGGAAGCTGTGTTCATTCTACTTTGGGGGATCACTAAATGTAGGTGCAGACCAAATGCAGTTTGGCAGGCAGGAAGGAGAGAGCTGTGACCCTTGGCAGTCACTGCTTTGATGATTGTCAGTGGCCAGACACATGCACACACTCATCAGGAAACACCCACACATAAGGCAACATTCTCTCCACTTGAAGTAATCTTCTCATTAAGTTTTTCTGGACTCTTTACTTCCTCTGTCCTTTATTGTTGTTTGCTGTTAGGTGATGTTGAGACAGTTCCAACTCATAGTGACCCCATGCACAACAGGATGAAACATTGACGGGTCCCGCACCATCCACATAATTGTTGTTACGCTTAAACCTGTTGTTGCAGCCACAGTGTCAGTCCATCTCATTGGGGTCTTCCTCTTTTTCACGGATTCTCCACTTCACCAAGCAAAATGTACTTCTCCAGGGACTGGTCCCTCCTGATACTATGTCTGAAGTATGAGAGATGAAGTCTCTCCTGTGGGAGTCCAGCTCTCGCAGGGTTGTGGGACACGAGAGGAGATGCGGAGTCGGCAAAAATGAAAGCAATCGAGGAGCCTCTGCTTAGTTGGCTGATGGAGCTCTCTCTCTTTTCTTCTCTCTCCTTCATTATGCCCCAGCTCAGCAAGTCTTTATTTTTATACTTAAAATTACACAGTACATAATGATTTGATACTTTGCTTTTTCCATGAATTATTACACAGTTTCAATCACAACATTCTTTTTACTCTGTGATTATATAACCTTAACAAAAGTATTTCTGTGATGTCCAAACTGACCTTTCCATATCCTGTTCATTTTTCAACCACTGAACACTTTCCTTTTGACATCATCTCCTCTCCTATGTAAGTGATAAATTGCTTCTTCTTATTCCCACTAAAAGATCAAGTTAAACCTTACACAAATAATTTCCATTTATCAGACCCTTGATTACATCCTCTTAGTAATATAAGTTTCTATTAATCATCAATACCTACACTACTTCATTGCTTCTACTAGGTGATTATCAATCTTCTATCCTACATACTACACTATTATTTTCATAGTAAAAGTATTACTAACATCTGCTTAATTTTGTTTTCTAAAAAAGTCTTCATTAAATTGCTTAACTACAGTGTTCTTGTCTTTTCTTTCTTTTGAGGCTGTGAGGCATAAGACCCAACCTGGCTAATTGCTGCAAGAAATGTAGATTATTAAGTTTAGACCATCTTTCACTTATGTCACTATTCTCTGCCTATTCACGTAGGTGCCTGTATGTAATAGTGGGGGTTTGTGAATTCTGGCTGGTAATTGATTGTGGTGAGGTCTACAGGGGTCGGTCAGCTTCACTTTAGTTTGTTATCTGCTTTTGTGATCTCATAAATGCAGTTACTTTGTACTTAGGCTTTCTGTGAATGGGAGTGGCACATACAATTCCCTTTGAATTCAATCCACTGAAGCTGAAAACAATTGTTGCCAGACCAGTTTTTCCCTAAGGTTAATAGAGCTCATAGTAAAAGGCTGTAAATATGGCAATATTATATATTTTTACAAGTGAGTTCAAAGTTATCTTAGGGAGAAGATAGAAAGCAACTTCTGAGAACTATCTGCCTTGCATGATATCTCTCCTTCTGTTCGGACTGTGTCAAACAGCAGAAGCCAAGCCACTTCCCGCACTCTCCATCTTGGCTTCTAAGGAGCATACTTCTTCAAACATAGATTTGTTTGTTCTTCTGGAAGTCCACAGTACTTTAAATATTCTTCTCCAACACCAATGCATCAATTCTTCTACAGTCTTCACTTTATTTTATTTTATTCACTTTCCAACTTTTACATGCTTTGAGACAATTGAAAATGCCTTGGCTTGGGTCAGGTGCACCTTAGTCCTCAAAATGGTGTCTTTGCTCTTGAACACTTTAAATAGGTCTTGTGCAGTAGAATTGCCTAATGCAATACGTGCTTTGATTTCTTGACTGCTGTTTCTAAGAGTGTTGATTGTGGACTCAGGCAAGATGAAGCCTTTGACAATTTCAGTCTTTTCTCTATTTATTATGATGTTATTTATTGGTACAGTTGTGAAGATTTTTGTTTTCTTTACATTGAGGTGCAATCATACTTTGATCTTCATCAGTAAATATTTAAAATCTTCTCCTCTTTCAGCTAGCAAGGTTGTATCATCTGCATATTGCAGGTTGTTAATGAGTCTTCCTCCAATCCTGATACCATGTTCTTCTTCATATAATCCAGCTTTTAAAATTGTTTTCTGATTATACAAATTGAATAAGTATGGTGGAAAAATACAGCCTTGGTTCACGCCTTTC